TGTATTATACAATAGAAATTCTTGCATAATTCTCTTCTTCTATTAACCTTTCAAATACATTATTTATTACCTGGGTTATTACCTGGGGGTAATTATCAAAAGTGTATGACAAAAGGGAAAGACTTCTTTCAGTAGAATACAAATTAAAAGAGCACTGACCAGGACCAGAACACTTATCTAAATGGTCCAGATGTTCAAAAATCTGGTTAAAATACCCTTGCTTATTAAAATTTTCACTCTGTTTGCCTCCGATATGCCCAGGAGCAGATAAGAATTTCAAATAAATAATGCATTTTCACTACATGTTCAACACAGCAATACCCTAACACTAGACCCCATCGCCCAGGGTCATGAAATTCACAAATCTGGTACCCTCGTCATCATAACTATGCATTTAGTTGAAGATTTTCAAAGAATTAACACCTTTTCAATTTATTATCAATAGAGCTCCCCCCTCCCCGAGAAACACCAGAACTTCTGACCCTGGAACCACAAGTTTTAAAAAATTTGCAAGAAGCAGCCTTGTTCATCATAATTATGTACTTTGTTTATCTGCTCAACAATAAGGAGCAGACAAGATTATTTAATTTTCAAAGAATTAATGCATTTTCACTATATTATCAATAGAGTCCCACCCTTACACAAGAACATCTTGCCCTGGGGCCAAGAAACCTATAATTTTGAAAGAAGCACTTTTGCTCATTATAACTATTCACTTTGTTTCTTTACTTAATAATCCAGGATCAGAAAAGAATATTGTCAAAGAAATTATGCTTTTTCACTATATAATCAATAAAACCTAATCCTTTTCACCAGAACCCCTGACCCTGGGGCCATGAATTTCACAATTTTGGAAAAGTGAAAAAAAGAGGCAATTTTTCTTATCATAGCCATGGACATAGTTTGTTTAAATAATACCAAGGAGCAGAGAGGAAGATTTTCAAAGAATTAATGCATTTTCACTATATAATCAATAAAGTCCCGCCTTAACACCAGAACCCCTAATCCAGGGGCCATGAAATTCACAATTTTGGAAGAGGCACCCTTGCTCATCATAACTATGTAATTAGTAAGTTTTTCATTACCCAGAAGCAGAGAATAAAATTTTCCAAAAAAAAGCACTTTTAATTATATGATCTATATAGCCCCGCCCTAGCACCAGAACAATGGCCTTAGGGCCAAGAATTTCACAATTTTGGTAGAGGGCTCAGGAATAAAGAAGATTTTAAAAGATTGCATTCATTTTGGTGGCTTTAGTCCCAGTCTTCAGGACCCAAGGGGCAGGGACCATAAAATTCATAATGTTTGTTCCTCTTCACCTATAGATGCTCCATGTATATGCCAAAATTGGTTGAAATTTGTGTAGCCGTTCCAGAGAAGTTGAAAGTATTCAAATAATAACACACGACGCATGACGACGACAGACAAAAATGAAGAGCAATAGTTAGGTCACCTGGCCCCAAAACCATAAACTGAGAACAGACAAAGTCAAAATCTAGATTTTAAATATCTAGATTTTAATTCAACAAACTTGTTTGAAAAGTTGCATTTTTGTAAAATATTCAAATAAGAACACCTAATGAAAAATTGGTTTTATTTTTATTTTTATTTTATTTTATTTTTTGTTGGGGGGGGGGGTTCATTTCCAAAGTCATTCAGAATTGAATTTTTGACTTAAGTCTCTTCCCAGTATATGGTTTTAGGGTCAGGACTGGATTGCTCAAAACACTGGTTAATTTTGACAACTGGTTAAGTTACCCGATGGTTAAATTCTATACCCACTGGCAAACTAACCACTGGTCAAATACCTGTTGCTCTAAACAAAATAATTTCTGGTTATCTAACCACAGGTTGAAAGATTTAACCAGTGGTTAGTATCCCACATTGCAATACATTTTCCACTTGTCAGTCAAAAAAGACTACCAAGATAAATATCAGATGAGTAAAAAGTGAGAAGTTATAATGTTACAACTGTATTAAAGAAGTGGAGAAACACCTACAGTAACAGTTATCAAAACTAAACAAACGATTTAAGTCACAAAAGTCAAGAAAGCACGGGTTTAGCTTGAATTATAAAACTATGCTGTGAATTCAAGTGGAGGAGCATTATAGGAACATAGAGTGGTTAAGGAAAATTAACACCACAGCCAAGGTGGATATTAGGCTTCGTAAAGACTGATGGTGGGCACCATATCCCTCATTAAATCCAATGTCACAGAAAATTATTTACATGCTTAAGGACTTGCCATATATCTCTTCAGAATTTTTCCTATTCAAGACTTGGCTATACTTACAAGGTAAGTACATCAATCTGCATCGTCTCACACTTAAATTATAATTTATTAAACACTTTTAGGCTGTTATCACCATGTAAACATCCCGTCTCTACTATGCATCCGATGAAATTCGCACTGGTTGCATTTTCGCATCAAATACTTTGCCAGAAAGAAATCATTTCAATGTTTTACAATATGTAAATATTTAAGTCAAACTCACAAATAATTTTAAAAAATTATCACTTTTATGTCTTAGTATGCCTTTTAACACCGATAGTTGGTAGTCACTTCTATTTGCACTGCTGTCACTGTAAATAACCACAGGCACCCGAAGCGGGGACCCCCATCCCCCACCCCAACTAACTAATGAAATATAAGAAGTCTTTATTTTCTCGAAAATATGTTATTTCTTCGTCAATTTAATCTGTATGTCATTCTGAGCAATGAATTTGCTAATTTCCAAGGTACTAACAGTGTTACATATCATATTTTTGCAACCACTCTGTCGGGGGGATGTTCTCCTACTAGTCTCTTTAATCTAAACCCGTCATTAGTGTTTTATATGCTGTAATCAGACGATTTATTAGACGGAAACATAAAATTTTCTCTTTTGACGGCCTTGCAGGAGGATTTGGCGTTATAACTTCGTAACCCTTCATCTGATTGGTCGACGGAAAACAGTTTACATTATTTGACTAATCAGATAAAGGGAAACAAATCGGCTTACATCAAACCTCCTCCAAGGGTGTCAATAGAGAGACCTTGTATATTTTTATTATACCGTATACATGTATGGCCAATTTTTAAACCTTGACAAAAGTACAAACCAATTGCACAGAATGACATACAGATAGAATTGACGGAGAAATCACATATATTCGAGAAAATAAAGACTCCTTACATTTTGTTAGTTACTTCGGGGGGGGGGGGGGTAGGTGCTTGTGTAAAAAGCGGAAAGGTCATAGTCGAAGATACAGATATAGTGAGTTCTTCACTAAGACATTTCGCTCCGTACCAATTAATTTATATAAATACACTGTGTAATTAAAATGCATTAATGCATTATCCAAAATGTATTACATAAAACCACACCCTTTAATAAGCATCAATATTTTGAGAAAATAGAAGACTTTACACGGATATCTATAGATAAGAAATGTACACAAAATCCTCTATAATTATTTTTTTATTTCCTCATAATCACAGAGGGACCTAGTCAAAATGAATGTGAAAGGAAAGAAAATAGTACACTTTTTGTCCCCCGCTTTCACTGAAAGTGGGGGATAATAATTTGGGTCTGTCTGTAAGTCCGTGTAGCTGTATTTCTGTCTGTCTATAACGCTTTCGTTTCAAGCACGTAGAGTCATTGAGCACAGAGGGATTTTTTCGTGCCAGCACCTACTGCAACACGAGACCTCGATTTATACGGTCTCATCCGAAGGACCGGTCTCAACGTTCCGCTATGGGATTCGAACCCGCGACGTAAGAAGCAACTTACAACACGACTCGAGCAAACGCTCTAACCACTGCGCCACCCGGGTGACGTATTGAAAATGTAAATACTAGTATATTTATCAATCCTTTATTTTATTTACAGGGGAGGACCACTTGATACTTTACAACGCCAACAATTTTAGCCTCGAGAGCAAACAGGACCTCCAAAAACATCAGAGGTGGGATCAAGTGCCATGGAGGAGTAAGCATCACCTGTCGACCGGTCAAGTATGAGACGATGCAAAATGATGTATACGTACTTTGTAAGTATACCTAAGTCATGAATAGGAATAATTCCGAAAAGATATATGACAAGTCACAATGCCTAAAAATAATATTCTGTGACCCTAGATTTAATGAGGGCTACGGTGCCCTAGTCTTTACACAGCCTAATATCCACCATGGCCCTGGTGCTAATTTTCCTATACCACTCTATGTCCTAATTGATCCTCCACTTGAATTTACAACATACATGTAGTTTACGTAGTTCTAGTCAAACCTGTGCTTTCTTAACTTTTTGTGACTTAAATCGTTTAGTTTTGATAACTATTACATCAAGGTGTTTCGGCACTTCTCCAATACAGTTGTATAACATTACAACCTCTCATTTTACTCATATGGAAGCCTTTTTTTGGTTGAAAAGTGGAGAAATGTGGTGCATTGTGGGATATTAACCACTGGTTAAATCATTTAACCATTGCTTAGCTAACCAGAGGAGCAATGGATATTTGAACATAGGTTAGTTAGCCAGTGGATGTAAAAAAAAAATTATCACGGCTAACGTAACCAGTGATCAAATTTAACCAATGTTTTGAGCAACACAGTCCTGAGTGACTCAGGTGAATTCAAAATCGTATGAATTCAGATAAGAAAAAAAAAACAAATATACAAACATTCATTAGATGAACCTTAAAGATATTATTTGAGAATATTCCAATAAATATTTACAATGTACCTGGACAGGGTATAACATGACATGTTACTGTGTCTATCAAATTTCCTTTGCACTGTGAACCTCCATACTGTGGTTGATGACAGACACGTGACCTTGTCTGTTGGCCCCACCCACAAGTCTGGCTACAGGAAGTCCAACCACTCCAGTCACTCAAAAAACCATCAACTTAAAAAATTATTTTAAATATTGACTTAATTCTTTGGTCATATTCAAAATGTAACTAATAATTAATAGATGTAAAGATATCGATCCCCAGTTCGAAAATAAATATATACTTGGACAATGTCGTGTTTGACTACAAGCTTCTGTCCTCAAAGACGAACCCTGACACGTTCCTGACCCCATACATCCTCTTGTAGAGGTACGTGTTCCCCCTGATCCACAAGTCACACTGCAAGACCCCCAAGTACTCCACTGTGTCCAATAAGCAGGCTCTAATAAAAGGTGGCAATAAATTGCATCATTTGGTTCATCTCTAAAAAATCAATGTTATACTACATGAAGTTTGAGTAAGCATGCATAATTTGCGAATATGAAGATTACTGATGACAAATGTATATGAAGACAATTCTATGATAAAACTCCAAACTGTAATTGATAATTTTGATTTTCTATCCATTCCAACTTTCTCAGTTACTTAAGTGACAATCAACTTATCAAAGACGGAATCATGTGTACGCATAATTCATAGTTTAATGTCCAGTCAAGCAGACGATTTTGGGGCAGGGGATAGTTGTATTTAAACATATTTTATTGAAACATAATCAACACATAATCAATAGGATTGCACACAAGTTTTACCAACTTTGATCGTCCTCTCGAACATAAAGAGAATGACTAATACATATACACGGGATGTACAACCAGCAAATGTACAATACAAGAAAAGTTCAGGGAAAGAATAAAGGAAGGGAGAAAGAGTTCAAGGAAAGAATGGAAAGGGGTTGTTTAATTAAAATTAAACCTTTACATCGCTTGACACTTATTCGTTAAAACAAATGATTTGTGACATGCATTAGCTGCAATTTGATTGATTTAAAAAAAATGATTGAATTGTAGTTGATTGTAACATTACATTTTTTTTAATCGTGGGCCGGATTTTGCGCTCAAGGACTGGTCTGCATTCAAAATGGGTTGCTCTAAAGCATTAAGCAAACATCAAAGCAAAGCAATAATTAAAATAGTATTTTGCTTCAAATCATTCATTACCTTTCAACAACTCATTGGAAATAAATAATTTGTATTCCATGCATAATCTGCAGTAAGTTATATTGTAGTGCTAGCAAGTATTGCCATGGTTGTGTTACCTGGTTTTTTTTTTATTGTGAAGTCATGTTTTCTGGATCAAAATCAGTAAAATTGTGGGGAAAACTCTCTTTGCCGGTGTTAAGACGAATAATGACCCCCATAGAATAATGACCAAGGGTCTTTTTTCAACGTCGAAAAATGACTCTTTTGCCTATAGAAAAAGTGGCATTAACCTTGAAATCTGCATATCTTACGTGAAGAAAAATGACCCCCGTAGAATGACACCCCCCCCCCTAGATTTTGTTTAAGATATACATGTATTTTTCTTTTTGATTAAATTGATTAAGAATTATAGATCAAAAGGCTCGTGGACCAAACTGCTCAACTGGGGTATACGTAAAATGAAGATACAGGGATGATATGCTGGTCTCATAAAATTTTTCGAATAAAGTGGTCTGTCTTCTATGATAAATTGACAACATTAATATTCATTCAATATACACTAAGTGGAAATGCTTCCATTTTGATTTGACAAATTCATCATTGTTTTTAAGAAGATTTTTAAGAAATATATACCAACAATTTTCAATTGCCAGTGAGTACATGAATAATTAAGTGATATATCCAATTCTGTTGCTTTCTTAGCCCAAGGCGCTTCTTATCCTACTGACTTGCAGTTGTAATTAATCATGTACTTATTGGCAATTGAATATAGTTAAGTAGTTAAAGAGATATCTGTTGATCAAGTTGCATTTGATTGTATGCATTTTTAGTCTGTGATTATAACAGTGTACAGACGTGTAATTTTCGGATATATAGCAAACGTATCTTACAATTTGAATACGAGAAATGGTGGGGTGTTTAAGATACTTTTGGTACATTTTCATTCAAACCGAAAGAAAAAGCATTAATTAAATATCCATTGTATATAGCCAAAAAAAAAACACTGGGTGAAATAAGTAGTTTCCCATCATGGGAAACTATACGGAAACCACATGAAAACCTCAAGTTTACATCATGTTTCGCAGTGGTTTCCGCATCGGATGCCAGGTTATTCCGTCAAGTTTCCGTGGCACGGAAACTACTACGCTCCGATTCCATAAGGTATCCCGAACCATGGAAACCTTTTAAAAGTGGAGATGCAAGCAATTTTAACCTTAACTGCAAGTAAAACTTCCATGAAACCCCAGAAACCGCTAAGGAATGGAGTCAATAAAAAAACTTGAGCATGCAGAAATCCATATTTCGCCCCCAAAATGAAATTAACCCATGTGCTTTATACATGTACCATCTTGATTTTTATGCCTGCTCTCCTTTATCAAAAGAATGATAAATCTTGTATAAAGAAGAAACTTCAAATCTGTTCGAACAATTATCTACTTCGCTAAGTTGTCCAAGCGAATACCCAATTCGTCTGAACAATTCAAAAACAATTTAATCTACTTTCTTCTTAGTGTATTTAATAAATATACGAAGGAATTTTTCCCCACCCAAATATCTTAATCGTCCGAACCAAAAAAAGAACTTGTCGGAACAATTACCTTATTTGTCTTTATTTCCTCAAACAACGATATATTTTTTTGGCTTCCACGGTACCATTCTATTGAATTATATTCCGTATTTATAAAAGTTATGGCCCTTATGGATCTTTGTAAATAAGTTAAAGTTATTAAGATTCTAAAATTACAAAATTAATAACCATGCAAAATTAAAATAATGGAAAAATAAATTTATTTGCTTACAAGGTCATTATAATGACCAAGGAATTTTCGAAATGCTAACTTTGATTGAGACTGTTGAAAGCCCTGATACATTATCTTATTTTTGAGTATCCTGACTGCTTAAAAGTAGATTGTATACAGAGCATGCTCTACCGAATAAGCTAGAGACGTACCGAATAAGCTAGAGACTTGCACAACATATGCAGGTGATTGTAGAATTTTACTACATAAAAATATGTAAGTAGTGGTCAATTTGGAAGTCATCTCGTTTGTCATTACTAGTAGTTCTATTGTTAGTTGGCAATAAACGTTTATAATTAGTAAAATATCAAAATATGAATCGGATGAAAAAGAAAGATTAAGATAAAGCTTTGTGAAATACCTATTGTGCGTTTTTATGGTGTGCTGAAAACTCAATAGGTATAGTAATATTTTATCTGAAAATAATGACCAGTAAACAAACTCAAATGTCCATCGGAACATTACAAAGGAGAAGAGCAAACGCGGACCTTTCAAAAGTCACCAGAGGCGGGATCAGATGCCATGGAGGAGTAAGCATCCCCTGTCGACCGCTGTTGCTCATTGGCATGATTGGGCAAACGGAAAATCCGTAGACCATTCAGTGTAAAAATAATGGCCTTACAATTTGAATGAAAAATCGTCAGTCAGCATTCGACTTACGGATAGATAGTATTTGCTAACAAGGTCACTGTATCGACCATAAAATTTGCAAATTCTTGATAAATCGAGACTATTGATATCCTTGTTTTATCAACTTATTTGTCAAAAGCTTGCCTCGTTTTAGAAATTGTTTGTAAGTAGAACATGCTCTCACATATCGAATCAACAGGGAGACATATACTCCCTATACAGGTGATAATGGTATATTGTTTCATAAATAAGGGAAATGGACGATAGAAAAGTTGAAGAAATCACGTTTATCATAGTTTTTTTTTTTGTTAGTTTGCGATTAGTGTTTTTCTCTAGTAAAATATCCAAATAGGTATAATAGATTTAAACACATGAAATGCTCTTATATTACATTTCAATTGCGTGTTCTTCCAGTGTTCGTCAGAAAAAACACAAGAAAATTAAACGTTGAGAACCAAACCTTGTCATCGATCACCCCTTTTAAACTTTGTATCACTCTGTTGGGATGGGGATCATTTTTCTACGGGGATCAATATTTTTATAGGTTGCAAATGTAGAAAATTTACCCCTTGGGCTCTTTTTCTACAAAAAAATACATTTTTCTACGACCGGCGACAGTTTTATTTTACCTCTACTGTTATTGGTGTGTATGAAATCAATACCATTAAACTGTCTATTTCCCTGACACCCCTATTAATGTGTTCGGAACTTTTATTTTTCGGTTGTCTGAAAAATGTAAGACCCAAGGAGTTCGTATTATAGCTCTGGCAAGATTTGATGAGACTACAGCGAGACTGTTACAGGATAAGGTAAATTATTCACGGAAGTGTTAGCTAAGAAATGACTAGCACGTGGAGACATAGTAAACAGAAAAGTTATGTTTCAGTTTTCACCACTGTATAAGTGGAAAATGCACTTTAATTTCTCTATAATTCATTCAAACTTCTTGATTCTTCTAGGTATTCCTTACGACATTATTTTTTGCAGTTATGTATTGAAATTTCTTTTTGGACATGCATACTTGTATATGAACAATATTTTTTGGCGTCCGACTAAATTTACGTGCTAAACGAGGTACCAACATGACCTAAAAACGAAAAAGCAGTGAAATGAGTTGAATTGCATTGTGGGCTACTAAGAAAATTAACGCTTGGAAAAGACAAAAGATTTCGAAAACAGTAAATTTTTCATGCATTTCATAGATAAAAAAAAAACATGTCCATTATCACTTATTATTTCCATGCTCACATTTACTCTCAATTTTGAATTCAAGGTTTATCAATGCAATGCTGCAAAGCGATTTGTGTCTGTATTCCTTGTTGTACTATCGGTGAATACAATTGTCGGATGGATTCCCTGGCCAAAGACAAAAGATCGACACAGGTGTTCACGCGTATTGTAATGTAAAAGAAAATCTTTGTTGTACATTTAAACGTTGAAATACATAAGAGTTGCTGCTCGTTCTCCTTGTCCTTAAAGTGCTGACTTTCTTGGCAAAAATTTTGAACATGAACAGACTACCTTTTATTGTACATTGTATAACCTTGTGTCAATTCAACAAAGAAACAATAAATTACAATATCAAGTAATGAGGCGAAAAAGTCTTCCCCTTCTTAGTTTCTAATCTTTGTAAAAAAAAAAAAAGCAATTAAAAATTATCTTCAATTTAATATCGCTTTGTAGATTGACCAGAAGCACGTTTTCGAAGTCAAATGTAAACATGTAGTAGGTCATTCAATGATTGGACAATTGTTCGTGGTGAGACTTGCTGTGCACACTAACAAAATCAGCTATAAAAGGTAAACGATTGTTTT